AAAAAAAAAAAAAAAAAAAAAAAAAAAAAAAAAAAAAAAGATTTATATATATATAAGAGCTCCAAGAATGTTAAATTGTCAGCCCAGTCTGTTATGCAAGCTCAGAGTCCTTACCGGGGAAAAATGGGACCCTGAGAGATGGAGACATCTGGGCTGATATATTCAGGCTTTAAACCCTCAGATTCCTACAAACCTCTGCATCTATAGAAGAGTCCCATGCTTTAAGGACCAATGCTGGCCAGGTGTGGTGGCTCACGCTTGTAATCGCAGCACTTTGGGAGGCTGAGGTGGGTGGGTCACTTGAGGTCAGGAGTTTAAGACCAGTCTGGCAAACATAGTGGAACCCTGCTCTACCAAAAATACAAAAATTAGCTGATTGTGGTGGTAAGCACCTGTAATCCTACTCAGGAGGCTGAAATATGAGAATCACTTAAACATGAGAGGTGAAATTTGCAATGAGTTGAGATCACGCCACTGCACTCCAGCCTGGGCGACAGAGCAAGACTCTATCACACACACACAAAAAAAACCAACAACCAAAAAACAAAAAAAAACTAATGTTTTCTTGCTGAAGAGAATTAAGAGGCCCCTACCTTAAAGAGGCCCCTACCTCAAGATCTGTCCCCACCTCCCTTCCTACACAGCAGATAAATATCAAAGTTAAGTCAGTATAAACCAACAGGGAAGTGTTGGGCTTGCTCAGGAGGAAAGGTAAAATACTCTGAAAGTTCCACAGAACTTAGTTAATGTGGACCTTAAAAGGTGAGAGGGTGTCTATAAGACTTAACTCTAGAAGTTATTGATCCAGGGATGGAAATAGAACACAAAATTGGCTAAGGGAGTGTTTAGCAATGTGAGTGTACTCTCTTGGGATACAGGTTTTAATCCTTACAAGAACCCTGGGAGAAGGTGTTGACACTTTACTAGAATGGCTCTTAGACACTTAGAGAAAGTGACAGCCCTCACTTCAGTGAAGTGGAAACACTAGAATTGCCATGCCAGGCAGTGGGAAAAGGGGTCAAAAGGACTAAGGAAATGGACATGATACAATGAACAGACTATGTAAGCCTTGCAAACCCATCAGATGACTGCTTTGCAGGAAGGCCAAAGCAATAAAAATAGCCTAGTGAGAGGAACCAGCATCTCTGAGCCATCTGTGGTGGCTCTCCTCAGAAGGGCCGGGCTGATATTGTTATATAACTGGGCTCGTTAATAGCAGTGGGAATAGCGGGTACAAAAATAATAGAGGCCAGGTGATAGTGCTCAACCATCAGAAGCCGAGAGATGCAGTATCTTAATGAGCAGCAAGGTAAGAGACGCATCCAGGTGAGCCTGATGAGCATGGAGTTAGGAGACAGCATCTCTAGGGGCAAGATAGTTGCAAAGCCAGCAAAGGCATTGCTCAATCTATTGTATTAGGCAGGGTTTGCCAGACAGACAGAACCACTAGGACATATATGTAGATATATGCCAGAAGGTTTATTAGGGCAATTGGCTCCGGTGATGGTAGGGGCCATCTGCAAGCTGGAGAACCAGGGAAGCTGGTAGCATAGCTCAGTCCAGGTCCAAAGGCCTTGGACCAGGGATCCAGGGATGTGGCGGATCTTCCCCACTTGGTCTACCACCTCACACGCTAATCTCCTGTACAAATAACTTCACAGATACACCCAGAAATAATACTTTACCTGCTATCTAGGTATCCCTTAACCCAGTGAAGTTGACACCTAAAATTAACCACCACATTATTCAGCTGGAAAGATCAAGATGGCCAGGAGGCACAGGGCAATTGCCTCAATCAAAAAAGCATGATATCTTTAACCAGTTTTACCTGAGTCAGTTTTCAGAGCTGGAACCCACTGACGAAGAGAGAAACTAGTTCCTCTGGAAAAAGAACCTCGAGAGACTGCGGCGAGGATATACAGTGGTGAGTCCCCTAATGCTTAGTCAAAGGGATCTATGGGCATTTTCTGAGGTACCGTATATTGGAGAAAAGGGGGATATTCAAACTTTTCAGGAACAGTCAGTCACAGGATCTGAGTTGATTTTGAAACAGAGACCCAAAGCATCCCCCAAGGCATCACCATGGCCTCCTTGTTAGTGGGGGTACATGGTGGAATTGTCACCCAGGTCTGGCTCACAGTGGCCATTTTTTCCAGTATCTGAATGTCTCATTAGAATGGACTTACTTGGTAGGTAGTACAACCTCCACATTGGTTTCTCGGCCTGTGTGATAAGAGCTATTGTGGCCGGGTACAGTGGCTCACTCCTGTAATCCCAGCACTTTAGGAGGCCAAGGCAGCTGTATCACAAGGTCAGGAGTTCGAGACTGGCCTGCCCAACATAGTAAAACCCTGTCTCTACTAAAAATAAAAACATTAGCCAGGCATGGTGGCACATGCCTGTAGTCCCAGGCAGTTGGGAGGCTGAGGCAGGAGAATCACTTAAATCCGGGAAGCGGAGGTCGTGGTGAGCCAAGATCATACCACTGCACTCCAGCCTGGGCAACAGAGCGAGACTCCATCTCAAAAAAAAAAGAGCTATTGTGATGGAAAAGAGCAGGTGAAAAGTTCTGAAGCCACCCCTCCCCCCATCTACCAATAAATCAAAAACAATATTTCATCTTAAGGGGAATGTCAGTGATTAGCAGCACCTTTAAAAACAAAGAATGCAGGGATGCTGTTCCCCAGAGCACCTCCGTTTAATTCACCAATCTTGTTCTTACAAAAAGCAAATGGAGAGTGACAGTGGAATATTACAAATTCAACTGAGTACAGAGGGTCCCCAACTTCCAATGATTTGACTTAATGTTTCTTTGACTTTATAATAGTGGGAAAGTGATACACATTCAGCAGAAACTAAATTTCAGTTTTTGAATTTTGATATTTTCCCAGGTTAGTAATATGTGGTGTGACGCTCTCTGGTGGTGCTGGGCAGCAGTAGCGAGCATGGCTTTTTGCTTTCAGTATTCAGTACATTACTTGAGATATTAAAACTCTTTATTATAAAATAGGTTTTGTATTAGATTATTTTCCCCAAGTGTAGGCTAAGGTAAGTGTTCTGAGCATACTCAAAGGAGGCTAGCCTTGCTGGGTGCGGTGGCACACACCTGTAATCCCAGCACTTTGGGAGGCTGAGGTGGGTGATTACCTGAAGTCAAGAGTTTGAGACCAGCCTGCCCAACATGGTGAAACTCCATCTCTATTAAAAATACAAAAATTAGCTGGGTGGGCGGTGGGCACCTGTAATCCCAGCTACTTGGGAGGCTAAGGCAGGAGATTCAATTGAACCTGGGAAGTGGAAGTTGCAGTGAGCCGAATTGCCCATTGCACTCCAGCCTGGTTGACAAGAGTGACACTCTGTCTCAAAAAAAAAAAAAAAAAGTAGGCTAGGCTAAGCTATGATGTTTGATATGTTAGGCGTATTTAATGTGTTTTTGACTTAAGATATTTTCGGCTGGGCGTAGTGGCTCATGCCTGTAATCTCAGCATTTGGGAGGCTGAGGCAGGTGGATCATCCGAGGTCAGGAGTTTGAGACCAGCCTGGCCAATATGAAACCCCTTCTCTACCAA